GGGTTGCTTAATTTTGAGTCTTCTGAATTGTCCTCCCTCCACTTGCACAGCAGAACGAGGAATTGTGTGCTGGTTTTGACTCTTATTGTATGTGGAAAATCTAGTAAAATTACTGTAAAAATGGCCGTATGGATAGTGAGGCCTTTTTCTGAAATTTAGTTTTAAGCAATCTTAGTTCCTTGAGATTTCTTGGAAGTATTGGCAGCTTTAATTCAAACTATAACTACTTGGTTTGAAATATTTTACTTTCTGAATTAAAAATAAAATGAAAATACAAAGGTTAATTAAATTTCATGCTTGCTTGTTTTTTTAGGGAAGTATGTAATGGTGATGGGTGTGGTGCGCTCCTGCAGTCCTGAGCCTATTCTTCGAGCAATAAAGATGACAGATCTTTCTGAAAACCCCGTTCATAAGAATATGTGGAGCCTTGAAGTGGAGGATTTGCACAGAGTCATCCCCTAGATACTTTTTCTTCTGCCTAAAATATCTGGAAATGTACTCGTTTTGTTTGTTTGTTTTGCTGCTGCTTCTTGGTGCAGAACACTGGGCCATTCTGTGTATTTGTGGTTTCAAACAACTACCAGTTAGTTTTGGAGTAAACTGAAGTGAGAAGTCAGGCTCCGAGTTAAGTGGAGGGATCAGTGCAGATAATCACATTGTTCATCTCTTTCACAGTCTCTTTTTATACCAACAGATTTGAGAAACACTTGATGCTTTCTGTGTAAAATGTCTGTGCTATTAAGAATACTACATGTTTCTTCGTATGTCGGTTGCTGTTGCTAGGATCATGTGTTTAGATAGTCATTCCTATAGCGGGGTATTCTGGGCAGAAAGGGCTGCACAGAACTCGTGTTACCAGGGTGAACTCAATATGTGGAATGAAGGCAAAATGTGTTTCAGTCCATTTAGCCTGTGGTTGGAAATAACATCTTCATCTGTTTTTTCTCTTTCAGTAATAACCATGTCAGTAAACTCTACTTGTAAGAGAGATGTCTCTTTCTAACTGTAAGCAGAGTCTTGTACTTCAATATCTCTCTGGTTTCTGTGTTTCTGAAATACTGAAAGTGGTACAGTAATAACCCATGTTTTCCAATGAAGTGAAATTAACTGAAAATATGCGACGCAGGATTCCTTGGAATAGGTTCTCAAGGTTCAAGATGCAAATCCCTTTACCACCTCATGAAACAAGCTTGCTGTGCCCAAGTGCATTTTTCTTTTTGAAGGTTTCCTTTCTTGTTCCAATGTATGCTATTTTTAGTTGTTTAAATCATTCTTAAATATATTTTATTTTTATCTTTCTTTCCTCCTCCTGTGAAAAAAATCAATGAAATGAAATCAAAAAACCTCTAAAAAGCAGAACTGTTACTATTTATTTCCCACCTTGTCTAAAGAGAATTTGAGTCCTAAAGAAAGCATTGCATTATCCATGTGGTGTGGCTTTGTAGTTTGGGACTATATTGTCCAGCAATACATTTATGTTAATTAGGAATGCGTATAGGAAGGGAACCTACTCTCTGATTGTACTCTGTACAATTTAAGACAAGAATCAAGTGGTGGTAACTAAATTTTAAAATTGTGGGATTATGTTTTCAAAGCGTATGGAAATAAAAAAACTGTCTTTTAAGTAGATCTTTAAATGAGATCTTTACAGATTAAGGACTGGATTTCAGAGTGCAATTCCAGCCTTGAGTTCAGTATTCCAAATCAGACCACATCAGAGGCAGTTGTATAATGGAACTCCTGTGCTCTGAGACCCTGCTGATGAAATGCCAAAACACACGTACGTACAGAATTTTGGCAGTCTGAGTTTATTTATTATTTTTAATGCTAGGAAAAAGCCACTTGTGGAATGCTGTAGCCTTTCAGAAATGATCCATGTGGTCAGCATATTGGCTGGCAACTGTTTTTATCTGGCAATATTTTTCCATATGAATGCTTCTTATGCCAGGAACCTGAAGCTCTTTCCAAATAAGTTCATCTTGCCATGCTTTCTAACTAGGCAGTAAAACCCTGAAAATAAAAGAGCTAAAAGGTCTGCTGCATCCTTGCTAGTGTCAGTAAATTTATGACAGAATTAAATATGGCTTGTAGCCCCTGTCATATGTAGTTGATGGGTGCACAGTGTAGTGGCTAGCAGGAGTGAAGCTACTGTTAATCCATCTGGCAGTGATGCGTATTCACTGAACGCATCTGAAAAGTGGTATTTGGATTGGATTGGACTGGATTTACATAGGGCTGGATTGGATTTGTAGAAGATTTTTTTGCATCTCTCGCCACCATCTCCCATCCAGAGGTTCATGAGTTGAAGCATCAGGGGTTTCTTTGCTCACTTGTTAATGGTCAATTCCAAGCATAGTAAGATCTAGATCTCTTCATTGCTTGATTTAGGGTGTTTCAGTGTTGGTCTGGCTCTGTACTGTACACTTGACCTCACTAAAACCCCAGACATAAACTCTGGTTCCACCCCCCTAACAAGTTTCACATCTTTGATTAATACAAAGCTGTAAATATTGCTTGGCAGTTGATTGGAAGGAGATCTGCTGCTGAACTGAAGTAGTGCTTCAGAAACTCCTGTGATAACATTAGTAAAACAGTAACCAGTTAACAGTTTTAAAGCCAAACTGGATGCTTTTATGACAGTTCACACTAAAAAGTGCTTTCCTAGGAATTCAAAGCAAGAGACACTTTTAGCAAAGTTGAATGTCGAGCTTCTAAACAAAAGACTTCCAGTGATTGCTTTGACTTGGAGTTTAGCTGTGCTTTACCTAATGAGTGGCTGATGCTGCTTATGGCTGTTGGTGGCTTCTGTACCACGTAGGTTTAAGAGTCGGGCTGAAGTGCCTCATCTCTGGGTTTCCACAGTTTGGCACTGTAGGGCTCTACTGGGGTAGTGGGAATTCTCAGTTTTCCCCATCTTAACTCGTGTCTCAAGTTCTACAGTAGAACATCTGTTTATCTGTGATTTTTGTTGCTGTTGTACAGCAGAGCATGCAACTGAGAAGTTACAGGGTGAGGGGCTTCTCTAGCCCTGTCTTGTGGAGGGGGAGGTCAAAGCTGGGATCTTTTTCTAAGATCGGTTGGTATTTGGACCTTGAAGAGGGCAGGAGAATGGTTGTAGATTGCAGAAGGGCTTCTGCATGTTCTGTGTTAGCTCTATCATAACTGGAACAAATCTGGATTTATCTCAGGGCACATACCAGTATCTGGGGAACTCAACTGGCAGAACCATGAGGCTTTGTGTATTTCAAACTTTCTCACCCTGTGATGGATCCTCAAACCCTCAACTTTGCTGCTAAGTTTTGGGGCATAATTTTGTGTGGTATGCATAAATGTCTGTGAACTTTGTGGTATGCATAAATGTCTGTGAACTTTGTGGTATGCATAAATGTCTGCGAACTTTGTAGATCTGGAGTTTCTGTATATGACCTATATAAAGGACACGGTGAAGGTGACTTGTAGGCACTGAAGTACTCACACTTGGAAGAATCACAACTTCTCTATGCTCCTGCAAGGACAGCTGGGTGTGGGTGGGTGGGTTCAGAGTGCTCTGATCAGCATGAGTTGCAGGTGCAGAAGTTCCTGGTCTCCAGCAAGCTGGGAGGCAAGATCAGAGCCATTTGTTTTGTGTGATGTGTGGCTCCCTGAGCTATTTTATACATTATTATTATTTTATTATACATTTTCCATAGGACAACATTCATCTGAAGGTAATAAACATTTCAGATGACTTCAGTCAAGGTGTTCTAAAATGTGCAGTATTATTAGTAGTGGTATACTAAAAGTTAGTATAGTGTGTGTGTATATATAGAGAGAGTATATATACTAAAAGTTTTAGGCCTGGTAAAGCTGGGGTAGTGCGGAAAAAAATGCCAGTTTTGAAATACTGACAGTGAAGTATTGAGCTGAGAAATGATTCAGTCAAGTCCTGCCACAGGGCTCCTTCCTGGAGGATCGTGTCCATGAGGAATCACAAACATATTTTAGTTGGCTTGAGGGATGCTTTTTGTGTGAAGTAAGTCATCACCTCATCTTGGCGTGCTTCCCTGCCAGAGTGTGTCAGCTTGCAGCAGGCGGGGAGGCTGCTGTCCAGCCATCAGGGACTGCTGGAATGGGCTTCCCCACATAATCCTCTGTCGCCTTCCAATTTAAAGACTTGTTTGCTAATACGATGTTGCTTTACAACGTGGCTGATGTCCTGCTTCTGTTAGGCAGGGAGGGTGGTGTATTACTTCCATTTTTTAATTCCCAAGATCAGACATTACTATGCCGTGATTAAGACATGCTTAAAAATTCGGATGGATGGTTTCCTTAGCTCGTGACAGGTTTTACAGAGTTCATTTGAAGAACCTCTTGAGCCATGACGAACCACTGCGTGTTTGTTGCTAGTTACTTTACGAACAGGCACGAAAAGGAGATTGCCTTTCCACTAACACCAGTAGTCCGTCTGGCACATAGGAAGGGCATAGGTGCCAACGCAAAAGAATGGAGATGGGACTAGTCGTGAAAGCTGTCGATCCATGCTGAGCGCAAATGACGAGCAGGGTACCGAAAAGCGAGGGGTGGTTTGGTTTGGGGTTCTTCTTTCTCATCAGCCCCCCGCGGTCGTTATTCTGTTAGCCCTGTTCCGCAGCGGTGGTGCTCTGCCCAGACTGGCGTTGCTGGTCTGTGCGGTGGTGTGGACGGTCGGTGCGGTCGGGGGGCCGGGGACTGCCACCTACCAACCCGAGGACTACCAACCCGGGGACGCCGGCGGGCCGGTAGTCGCCGTTGAGGTGGGTGCTGTCGCCCCCTGCCGGCGGCGACCCACGCCCGGCTGCGGCAACCGCGGGGCGGGCTGGGGCGGGCGGCGGCGTTGTCTGGCGAGGCCCGGAGCGCCTGGGTGGTCGCGGTCTCGCCTCTCCTGCGAGTACCGCGCCGCCAGCCTGCGTGTGCGTAGCCTGGGAGCGTCTGGGAGAGAGCTGTCGACGGGCTGAGCTGAGGTTTAGAAAGGCCGTTGGCGTTTAAATGGCTTCTTTGGCACCTGCCGTGTGCTGTATGCAGCCTCTAGGAGACCCAGGATCTGCATCCGTCTCGGGGTTGCCATCTGCAGTTAGCATAGAGTTAAACTCTTTTCTGTATTTTGTATCCCTAAGCGCGCTGCAGTTAGCTGAAAAGTAAGTAACGCAGCTCTTCGGAACCTTTTGCTCTACTTGCTGACGTTTTGCTTTGTTCTTGCAGCCATCACGGCAGTATTTTTTCGAAGGCGTTTGCCATGCTTGGCATGCACTGAGTGACTGGGGAGAAGATTATGCGGGTTTTTAATAAATAACTGGTAAAAATATTCTTTAACTTAAAGAAATATTTATTTCATACAATTTGGGCTTCATTATAAAACACTTCTTCTCTGTAAGTAAGCAGTTATAAAATTACTGCAGAGGAAGACTTGATTTCTACCATGTCTTATATAGCAGCATCTCGTGTGGGTGGGAATCCTTAACAATTGTAGGAATTTTTCCTGACTAGTGTGAGAATCATGTTTTACTTAGAATTTGATTAAAACTACAGTGTAAGTGTCAGGAAAGTGAGCGTAGACTAAAGCAGCATACACAAGGTAACTTGAGGCCAGCTGCTGTTTTTGTCTCTTAGGAACCATGGGAGCCATTTAAACACAGCTAGTTCCAATGCTGTAGATCAGTACTTTATTCTTACAAATAATCTGTAAAAATGTACTCCAGCATAAAAACAAGGAAGTCAAATGTTTATTAACATTATTTCATAGTTCACCATTATTTCAATGTTTGCCTCTTATGCAAAGATATCTGAAGGATTTTGCAGTGTTACCTCTTACTAGGGAATAATCACATTCCTTGTACTGAGTGGAGAAATGTAATGCATTTTTTTAATCATTAGACCTACAATATAGAAAGTAATTTAACAGATGAGACGCTTTCACACAGTGATATCTGTAACACCTTAAGACTACTTTATGGATAGGTGTCAGTCACCTTTTCCCAACATGTAAACTGATTTCTGAGAAGGGGGTTCTGAAGACACAGAGGGAGAATGTGAAACTGGTGAACAGATACCAAGAAAGCTGCTTCTCATTTAACAATGTACGCATTAATAAGGGAAAAATCAGCCAGCATAAAAATAATTAAAATTAGTAAATGCTTTCAATTATTTAACCATCTTATTTCTATCTTGGCCCTCTTGTGTGTTTGGGCACTTCCCTGGAAAAAGGTCTCTTTCTCCAGAATTCACTGAACAGCTGAGTTTCAGTTCTGGAGAAAAACAAAAGTCAACATCTCTGCACAGGTTCAAAGCTGATACACTGCTTTCACAAAGTACCTCACTTGTACTAATCTGAGCTGGAAAAGACATTTTGTCATTTTTTAAATGTATTCATGCTACAGTTCGAGGCTTGGGAAAAGGCAATTGTGCCACTGAATGGGAGAATTTTTTTAAAGTAAATGTGTCTTATGTCCAGTTTCTTCTAGTTGATTATAGTTTCTTGCCACTGCATTGAAATCATTCCTCTTTCCCTTGGCTGTTTCTGGGTGAAAAGCTTTCCTTTTATGCTATATAGGCTTCATTATCTTTATAGTCCTAACACTAATTCATTCACACTTTTACTGTTCTCCCTACTATTGCTTCTAGCTTGTCTACCTAAAATAGCTGTTTTATTTTGGGTGCTGAAAGGGTTCTTCTGTCTTCAGGGCTGGTATCTGCCATTCAGAACTGGCTCAAGCTGAAACGAAGAAGAGATGAAATCCGGTTGAGTGGTTAGTAAGTACTTAAAGGATAGCAAGTAACAAGTCGCATGTAATACAAGCTGTTATTATGCTGAATTACAATAAATCTATGAAAAAAAAATAGCATTAGCTATATTTATGACAGTATCAAAAAGCTGTGGGAAAAAGTATTCTAGCATTTTACATACAGTTTTATCTTAGATACATCTTTATTTCAGTTTAGTGTAAGGTTCGTTCTTCATGTTTGATGATAAATTCACATTTAGGAGGAAAAGAGCAGCGTTATTACTAAAATTTATGGGCTCTGGCTAGTTCAACTAGCCAATGGAAGTCCTTGACAAGAATGAGTTTCTGGAAAGTAGTGCAGAGTTAGCTATTACTGACTGAAATTTTCTCTTGTTCCTGTGACCTTAGATGGCTATTGGTGATGATGCGTGACTAGCCTGGCCATCACAAACTCTTTCACAATGTCAAACCTAGTTCTCCCTTACTGCAGTTTGGTCTGTTACACTTCCTTCTCTTTAGTGTGTTTACATATTTAAAGACGTAACTCATGTCCTCCCTCAGCCTTTCAATTTTTTCCCCCACAGAGAGACCTCTGGACTTTTCTCAACTGGTTCACAACTTAACTAACTAAAACATGGTGTCTAAACTGGATGCATAAAATAAACTGAATAGAGAAGAATTATTTCTTGTCTTAAATATGTTTATTCATGTGTACATCCCCAGTATACTTTGCTTGTTTAATAGCATGCTTTAATAGCATGTTACTGTTGTTAACTGAGCTTGTGATCCACTGTAATTCCAATCCCTTTCCTCAGAAATGGGATACTGTAAACTAGCAGCACTAGCTGACTTCAATCTTTTGGTTACTGAGCCATTCTAAAACCCTGTTTTCAACTGAATATTCAGGCTCAGATTTAACAAAATTTGTCTCTATATTTCATATTCATGTGTTGAAGAGTTTATATAAACTATCGGAGCTAAAGCCACTTACTGCCTACAAGATATTACCTAGAAATTTCATGGCCATCTGCTGCTTACACACTGGGTGAACTGAATACGTAAGGCAGATAATGACATGTGGCATTATTACCACATATGGGAGGGTATGCATGTGATGCACTTAACACATATACTGAGTGTTCTTTTTCTAGGTTTTTATTTTATGGCTAACACAATTATCTACAAATACTTGATATTTATTCCCTTCCTTAGTGCATGAGAAGTCAGCAAATATTTGTAAATATTTCTTTTTAAGCATACCACAAATATGTTTGTTGTCACCAGATCACTCTTTTGAGGTGGTAGTGAGTTTACAAATGCAAATGAATAACATTTCATTGCATGTATTAAAAAACCCACCCTGTTTTCTCATTACTAGGCCTTAGCAAAGCATGGAGCATAAAAGCTAGGAGTGTAAACCCAAGTGCTTCCTTTCAAGCAAAAGGATGATTGGCTCTTCTGCATGATTCCGTCATTTAATTAGAGTAAATGTTTCCATTGCAGTCTTGTAAAAATATAATTACAGCTTAAGTTATTAAGTATCAGTAATTAGTATGACAATAATTGGTATGTGTGTTGCCTTTAGTTTTCTCATTCAATGAAAAGATACAAGCATACAGCAAATTTCAAAGAAGGCTTTGTTGGTTTGGTTTTTTTTTTGGTCTAAACTAAGGAATAACATAATGCAGATGAATAAAAGAATAAGTTTTGGGGATGTTCTTGGTCATCTCTCTTAAGACAGCAATATGAATAGTATTACTCAAGTGGTACAAATTATCATTATTTACGTAGCAATTTGTAGTCAATAAATATCATAGTTCTAAGAAGGTACTGTATGCAGAATATCCAATGGAGACAGAGTTTAATAAAAAACCTGTAGAAAAGGTGTATAGTGGAAATTAGTGAATATACATAATACAGCAAATGCCGAAATATACAGCTGCTATTATCCTTAAATGGTAAGGCGTTTCAGATTATTGTGTTTCTCTGGCACAGGCAGCCATTTGTTCTTTAGGTACTTATATTGCACAATAGGTAAATTGGACTGGAGTAAGATTACGCATAGTGGAAATGGCAACTGTAGAGTTGAACTGTGGAGTAACTCTGTAGTAATAATGCAGTAACTCTGAATAAAATAAGTAGAGGGGATGAAATTTTGTTACTAACAAGTATTTTGGGGCTGTGGACTTACACAGCTTTTTTTCTTTACAGAAGAAGAATTCTTTTCTTAAAATTCTGCACTTACCAAGTAATACAAATACAGTTAGCAGAACACATGAATCCAGTCTCTTTTAGAGCAGTAACTGTCCTAATCTAGTTTCTGCAGCAATATGCAATGCAGCAGTGTGTGCACCTTCACCAGAAAATGTGAGGATCCGTAACTAATTTGCACAATAACAACAGAAATGGGCAAAGGATTGTAACGCCAAAAATTTCAAGCCAGCACTACTGCTTTTTTCAGGCTTTTCAGCTTTCTTTGCATTTTTAAACAGATTCCCGGAAGACAGCTGCATTAAAATACAAGTATTGATAATCTTGAAATTCTAGGTTAAGTTTAAAGAAGATAGATTAATTTCATCGAGAGACTGAAAAGTACAAAAATAGGTCACTGAGTATGTTTAGTGCATCTATACAATATGTATTACTGTTAATATGAACCCAAATGCATTATTCAGACAAAAAAAAAAGATTGAAACAAAAATAGCATCTGAAAAGTGGAACTCCTAGGAACAATCACACCATATTCTGCAAGTATCTTTCTGCCTCCTACATAGCAAATTAGGAGGAAATAACTAAGCCATTAGAGAGTACAAATCGGGTGGGTTATGGTGTGCTTCTGAGTGCACAGCAGAAAGGGTGAGACAAGGAGCAAGAAGAATAATTCCAGGAATAGGATCGGTTTTGCTCATGCCCATAGTCAGATTCACTGGTTTTATTTTTTCATGTGCTCTGAATAATGGACATGTAAGTACTGGAGCAATGCAGTCAGAATATTCAGGATGAAAAGAAATGAAACTTACCACTGAGGAGGAATTTCCACGGGGACAAAATTTCGGTTGCACAAATGAACAAATGCTGCTGCTAAACTGCAGGCAGCCTTCAGGTCCTGTGATTCACAGGTGTCGTACGTACACATGCTGTAGAATGGCTCAGGGTCCACCTTTAATACAAAGGGCATTGTTTAGAGGAGTGGTGTGCAGGGTGCAAGCATACAGCTCTTCTGGAGACAGCGATCTGGCAATGCACCTGCAGGTAAACTGAAAAGGAAGTTTGATTTGTGTGCCCCCCCCCCCCCCCCCGCCCGTGTTAGGACCATTTGCAAACCTTTATTCTCTTCCTAATATTGAGGGGTTTATTTGTATTTCCAAATTCTAGACCTGTATGCTAAAGAGTGGTACAAAGTCATTCCACTATTTTGTGGATGTCAAGGACCTTAATTTCTATTTATGGTGATACAACACCTTTTCTTCTGTCTGGATTGTTGTTCTGATTACTTCTAAAGAAGTTATCTGCAACTAAACTTCAATATCCTTGCAATAGTTACGAGTACTCCTTTGAAGTATGGCATTTGGGTATTCAGGTAGTCCTTTGGTGGCTGAAGTTATACTTACAACTTTGAAGCAGTTCCTAAGAAGTGAATGTGATTCTTCGAAAAACACTTTACAGACTTTTTGCTTAGCTGTAATTGGACATGGCTTCACTTTCTTCTGTATGAGACTGCACTTGTTCACCTGGGAAAACAGCATTACTCAAGTGGAAGTTTTTGTTTGTTTGTTTTAAACACCAGTGCAGTGTGAATTCTTTGATTTTTTCCAGTGTGAGATGGTTTGAAGGGAGATACAGGCAGCTCAGTAGGTTTGTCTGATTAACATTTATTGTTCATTAATATTGGGAAGTACCTTGCACTCTTCATAAACAAACAGTGTATGTCTCATAAATATTACAGATTACAGACATCGCTTCCTTTTTCTGTTAATTTTGTTTTTCACTGAAGGATTGTGGTGTGTGGCTGCTAACACAGTAAGTAGCTGGCTAGTTGTCTTAACTTGTATGTGACAGATCAGAGTTGTGCTTTTACTAGATCTTTCTGGTGGAGAAAAAAAAAATTCATATCCTTGCTGGGTTATTCATGGGTAATAAACACCAAGGCAGCTTTAAAAAAACACCAAACTGGAGGTCCCTACAATTACAGGCATTCTTGGACAGTAAGATGTGAATGGGGTTTTGTTGTACATGGTTCAGGTAAGGTCCCTTAGCACACCAGTCAAAAGCTGATGATACCAAATATTAACTAGTAATGAGCAGCATTTGCTAAAGTTTCTTAGGGTTTGCGTTGACTGAACACTGGTTTTAGTACTCTGTATCAGATCAGCAACTTACTATGTTTTTTTAATCAGTAATTTCCTGGCAGATCTTTGAGTTTAGAAGTTCTTTAAGCAAGTGTAAACTCAAGTTCTTTTAATTACTAAGGAAAAACTAACTGCCAGTTTAATCTCTCCGATAACGTTCATCCTGCAGGAGTCAGACATTTGCAGTCTCCTTATTAACCTCCTCATTTTGTACAGCAGCTGGTCATGTAACACTAGAACTTCACTGACCTTATTTGCAAGGTCAGTGTATGACGAAGGCATGTAATAAAGCTCCTGGTAGCGAGTTGCCAGTCTGCGTTCGTAGTTCGATGTGAGGTGACTGCAGCAATGCGGAGTGACTGACTGCTTTTATCTGAGGCTTCAATACCTGGCCAGATTTAACCTGATGGTGTTTTCGCTTTCTGTATTGCATATAGCTGTGCTAAAACTTCTGCTCAGAAGGGAGTTTTGCAAGCTCCATTTTATCAGCACAGCTGAATGCACTGCCTGTTTGAATTGGGTATTTCCACCATCTTATCTCTTCCTACTGCTATAGAAAAGTTTCTAAGATGTTGCATGAACTCCTGACTTGGCACATTTGTATTTCTGGCCATTGCTTTAATGACGTATGACAACAGTACATTATTGGCAATTCAGTCTTTTTATTACTTTTTTCTGAACGGGATATGACTGCAAAGAGCACAGAGTTCAGCTGGAGTCATCTATAAATTTTTCTTGGTGGTATACAGCACTGCAAAGATGCCATGGCCTACAAATAAAATGTACCAATCAATAGCATAAGCGCAGCCAGCCATTATGCCATCAGCCACTTACTTAAAGAAGGACACACATGACTTCCCAGCTTGTTTATGACAGTAAGTTTCTTATGTATTACTTTTAATTGATTATTATTTTTAGTTCAACCTCTCTGGGTAGTTTTGCATTAGATGGTTGCTTTTTTATGAATATATTAAAGTTAGTATTTGTAGCAATTAAGAAAATTATACCTACAGTCAGTCACGTCATGATCCCACCCCATTATTAACTTAAACTCATTAGATATATCTCTCCAACAGCAAGGAAAAGTACAAGATACTTGAAGCAATCCTCTTTTTTAAAGCACTGACATAAAGGTGAAAATAGTAGCATTTCTGTGCCCAGAACTCGAACATCTTCTGGTGAGAGAAGGTAAAGGGAAGAGTCACAAAATCTTAGTAGTAATAAGATGCTGGTTTCTTTTTTTTTTGTAATAGATTCTCAAATTAGGCTTGAAGGGATGTAGAGGATCCTGACAACATGGCTTGAGAGCACAGTAAGGCTACTTTTTTTTTTTTTTGGTCAGTTGCATTCACAAATGGCTATGTACACCTGCATGTTTTCGTAGATTATTTTCAGCTGAAAATAAGTGACATGAATTAAGGTTAAGTCTCTTTGAAGCAAAGAGGTATAACATTACTGGTATAAAACAGTTACAACATTTAAGATGGTTATAGGAAGTCCTTTTATGCAAGTTAATAACTAAATCAGTAGCAGCTAACCCTCCAAAAAAGTCTCAGCACTTAGTGGTATGGAGAGGAACTTTATTAGTTACTGGTTTCTGAAGTTTTGTTTCTTGGTAAGATGAAAAGGAGGAAGAAACTGAAGAGGCTCAACATACCCAGCAACAACAAACAGCTCTAAAGAAAACTTCCAAGAGGGAAAACTTCCTGGTACAAACTGTGGCCTGACTGACGAACATATGGATTTGTCCCAGACCAAGTACCACCTGGCTCTGCATTCGAGAAAGAGGTGTTCCAAGTAGGAAAACATCAGAGATACTTGGTTCCAACATCAGTTCCTTCTAACAGCAGAAGCAGCCTCTATGTTTTACCTTGCCACTTTGGCCAAAAATGCTCAATGCCTATCTACAGGGAATTCTTATATGGTTTTTACCAAATATGTGCAACTTTTCCCTGGTTAAGCACAGGAAAACAAATTACGTACAGTATGCTGCTGTTTTCACTATCTAGCTTTGGTTCATCTAAACCAAAACAGTATGTTGGATGTTGCCCTTTGTGCTGCAGCACCATTGGTAATCTGCATAGAAAGAAGCCCTTCAGGTTGTTACCTGCCAGCTCCACGTGAACTCTTGCACGTTGTCAGTGAAGGAACGATTAGGAAATATCCAGTCATTTCCAGCTTCGTTATCATTGGTACCAAAAAGCCCAGCTGAAATACCTGGAATGGAATTGAAATGGAGCAGAATAGTAGTTGTCATGAGCAGACACAGGAGAATTTTAGATGCTGTCTCTGGGCTGTGATTATTCTGTACAGCAGAGCTCAGCTGTAATGTGGAAGAGGGAAGGTATGCCCAGGCATCCATTATGGATTTTTCTCAGACTGCATCGCTGTCATCTTTGTTAGCTGTTCATTTGCTTTTCCTGACCAGATCAAGGCGTCGTATCCATTCTCTGCTAATCTCAGGGGTCTGAGCTTTGGAATAGTGTGGGGCACATGGATAGGAATATTCCAAATATACCTGGAAGCTTTTAGGCCTCCCTCTTGTGTGCTCTTGCAGGTTTGACAAGATAAGCCTGCTGTAGAGCAGTGATTCTCACACAGGAATGGGGGTTGGGCTGACTGCATTACATTTACCCCCTATTTCTGTCTATCATCTGCTTTATTGCACTGAAACAATAGTAACCTAGGTAAACACTTGCTGTTCTTACTGGAATGATACATTACTGTGCTTTATTTGGCAATAACTGGGAATGCCTAAGGCCATTTCCAGGGTATGTATAAATGAAGAGGGGAAAAGCAAGTGAAAGACAACCCACATGCTGGTACTAGAGGTGATGATAATTCAGAGATACAGAAAAAATGACTAACAGCTGACAAAAGCTGTATGATTGATACTCACCATGATGCCAGCCAGCCAGAGTGACAGTGCAGAGATCATACTGAAAGTCACAAGAGACAGAAACTCCTTTCTGATTAGACACTTCTATTTTGTTGGTTTCTCTCCTTGAATTAGTGGTATTCTTTTCAAGGGATTGATCCAGCACATGGCAGTTCTCTTCCATAAAGGAAAAGTTATACATCTTGGATATCTGTTTTAAAATGAAAATGCCATTTCAGGTATGTCACGGTGAAAGTTCAATGACAGGCAAGCTCAGTCCGGGTTTGCAGGTAGGATGGGGTCAACTTTGCTCAGCCCAGAGTTAGAGAATAAGAACAGGGTTGTGTTAAACTTCTGAAAGAGCAGGAAAGCACAAAGCCTCCCACGTCCACTGAGGCTATGGGCCCAGTTTGTTCACCAGCTCTCTCTAACTGCCATCCTCTTGGGCCAGGTAAGAGGAAAGCTGAAAAGTTCATTGAGCCTCTCTCACTTTTAAGTACCCAGAGAGCAAAGAGGCAGCCCTTGAGTTAAAACTGGTTTTGTTTTGGGGAGTTATTTCCTGATTAAAAAGTGGTTACTTTCTAGCACTTACATCTGAGAGCTGTTCTGATCTATGTTTTGAGCATTAATATTTTGAAGACTTTTTTTCTTTCTTTCTTTCTTTGTGTTTGTGTGGGTTTTGGGTTGGTTTGTTGTTTTTGTTGTTGTTGTTGTTTGGTTGGTTGAAGATAATTTCTGGTCTGGAAAGGAAGAATGTTTGACTTTCCCCTCCTACCTTCAGTCTTGGGTAGATACTGATCACGGTCTGGTTCATCTCCACATACAGTGATCTTGAGTTACTGGTTTCCTCGTTCAGTATTACAGTGAAAGTATTGTGGACAAAATCCTTGGCAAGAAGTACACTGCAATTTGATGCCAAATCATAAATTTTTCCATCAAAAGTCATAAGATGCTTGGTCCCCATTAATATCGCATGATCTAGAGAATGGTATTTCAGAAGATACATCGGTGAGTTTTCCACAGACTGGTAAGTGCTGTGCTACTACTTGCATACTGCAACACAAACAGCTTCTGGCTGCCATACTCTTACAATACCTTCTCAAGCTATTATTACATTTTAATTAGTTAAAGTTGCTCTGCAACAAAAATTTCCCCAGTAAAGGAGACAATCTAATAATTTCCTTTTCATTATAGATCCATCTGATTGTCCTAAAACTTTGAGAAACAGGAATTAGGATTCAAAGCTTATTTTGGTTTATAGTCATGCTACTTGATAGTCATATTTGTAAGCCCCCCCCCCACCCCATATACACATTATACATTCCTATGCAGAAAACAGCAAGAATATTAACTGCCTCAAAAAAAAAAATATCCTGCTGAACCAGAGCATCAAACAGAGTCGCAGTCCAGGAAACCCTGCTGACTGACGTATCACTTAGAGTATTTGGTCACGAGGACCTACTTTCAGTGCCCTCTGTTGTGTCTGCTTGCTGGGAGGAAGCCATTAAAAATGGCTCTTTCTGGAAAAGCCACTATCTGTAAGGGACAGTTGGGACTGTTAACACAGTCTTTTAGCATTTAGCAATGCTTTTCTCAAAGTATGGACAAAGCCTCCACCACAAAGCTCAGGGCCAACAGATACGACTGGCACGGAACCATAGTATCGACTCACAAAAGCATATAGATAAGACTCATAAATGCCACCTGCTCATTTCTAGTCTCAACAGTAGAAGTGTGAAGAGTTGCAAAATTTGCATGAGTATTAAGTATAGGAATGTTTATTGCATGTCAGCTTTACCCAAAGTGTTGATACTATACATACAATTACTGTTTTACAAGAAAGACTATATATGAAGTTTATAGGAAAATTATTAATTAGCAACCATCTCTATATAAACCACTCTTCCAAATATGATTTGTAAAATTTAGAACTAAGTGGAAATAGACCCAGTTACAAAACAAAGCAGCACTTTGAAAGGGCTTACATTCAAAGGGACTCTCCATCATCCTCCGTTTGAATCTGTAATACTCTGCAACTATGTTGATATTGTAGAGGTCTTGGAGAGGCCTCATTAGCTTTTCTTCAATGAGATAATTAGTAATATTTGCCAGATCCAGGGAGCGGTCTGCTTTAGGAAGTACTGGCAGTTTTACTGCCACCGAACAGTTCCTGTAGAATACAAACAAACCAGCATGTGCCCTTATCTGCTAAGCTGATGAAATGCAGTTGCTTTATTATTAGAAATGTGGAAGTGAAATATTCATAAGAACTATAGTCTGGTTAGAATGGCAAAACAAAGATATACAATGGCTAAGACCCGCACTACACCATGCCATATAAGGCCCATTACCGTAGTCATTGCTACTCTGTTTGCTGCTGAGTAGCATCTTTTGAAATGCAGCCTGTCCTGGTAGCCAACAAAAATGAACATTATGGTGTGATGCCATGTGCCCAAAGCAGAGAATGGCCAGGTGGTTGTCCGCAACCTTCAGCGTACAAGCTGATATGAAAACTAACTATGCACGTATCCATTTAGAACACTACTTGGCAGCAGGGATCCTGCAAAAACCACCAATTACCTGGCTGAAAAACTGTAAAGGTTGAGTAGGGGCTTCCGGATCTTGCTCACAGCTCTAGAAAACATGGCCTCTGCCCACCTGAGCATCTGCTGTGTAGTCTATTGGAGAGCCAGAAAAGGAGATTACAAAACTGAATTCAGTATGGCTTCAGGGCAGGGTCAGTACTCAATAATGAGTTTTAAATCAATAGTCAGTGAAATAGCATGTTAGTCTCTCTTTTACTTGCCTGACAGCATCTTGTCATTTAGAGGTTAACATCCAGAGGACAAACACTAGTCACTACAGCAACAAATAATGGACAGAAGTACATCCTTCCTAAAATGACATTACTTAAAGTATACCAATACTTCACTGAGTTAATGTGCTTCAGTAGCTTGCAAAGGATTGATATCTTCTTTGTTAATATAAATTGGTGTCATGATATATCCTTTATGCTCTTCATTTCAGCTAGAAGACCCCAAACCTATTTGTACATTTTTTGTTGGAATCACAATTCCTCCTCCCTCTGGAAGAAAAGCAGAAACTACATGAATGACGGATTACTGCTGCTGTGATTTCAACCAAAACTAGTAAAACAACCTCTCCTCTAGCTGGAAAAGTATTGCTCTCAAAGCAGGACAAATATTTCAAGAACAGTAAATTAGCTGCGTACGAGCTTGTTATGTGGAAATATAACCTCACTATTTCTATAAACAAAAACATTTAACTGTTTTTGTATATCCATAGTTCAAAGCTGAGACTTAAATTTGTAGGCTTTGTCTTTCAAACCATTAAAAATGGAGAATTAAGTTATACAAACCATATCCAAGCCTGCTTTCACAACCTTTAATGCCACCTGAATTGGTTCCATTAGCCACACATCTTTTACAATCTTGGGTAAAAAAGCCTGGATTTTCTTCATGTACTCTTCTGTCTTCTCTTGCCAAACTTCATCCAGTGGCTTCAAGGTTACATCGTAGTAGGCATCCTTCAAAGTTGCTAACGGCTCTGAAGCAAACACAATACATGAAACAAACCTTAGCTAGTATGTTACAAAGTGGCTGTTTGTTTGTTTGTCTCCCCACAGCTTCCAGCATAAGTGAAGGAGGGACACAGAAAACAGGAAAAGGCAGCTTAGTTTTTATGGCAGTTAGGCACACCTCACAGCTGTGTGCATGGACACAGTCTTACGAAAAACCGAAAGAAGCATTTTAGTTATAACCTGATCCGCACATATGCCTTATAATATAAATACATTGCTGCTTTCCAAAACAAATACAAGGAATGTTTTGCAATATGCCACCATCAAAGCTGTACAGCTCAACCTGTACCCGCTCAAGGAATTACAGGACAGTTTGGTGACAACTAATTTCAAACACAGTATATCAACTAAATCCCACTTTTGAGTGGGAAGAGTCGAGAGGTAAGTGGCCCAAAGTGAGGTTTTAATCTTGTGAGAACTGAAGGTTCCCTCAGCTAATTACAGCTGACCACATTGTCAATGGTTTCAGTATGAGCCATAGTCCAGCTGAGAGTGAATTAGTGACTACTGGATAGACTTTGAAAAAACGGATCAAGTGAAATCTGATTAGTACAAGCATTCAAAACTCAAGGACAGGTGTGAACAGCCCTTTGGGAGGAAATGCTTGCCAGTGGACTGTTAGCAGAAATGCTTCAGCTTAGGAATTGGGTCTCTGTTCTCATCCAATTGAACCCAGACTCCTGTGTGCAAGAGAACGCCTCTTCAATGATTTCATTATAAAGGTGGTCACACTGCAGTTACTTAGAGCTTATTGCATCAAGGCTCCCACTCTGTAAACTAAGAGCCAAGGTCAGCACTTTTTGCTAGATCAAAACAGAAACATTTGTGCTGTTCAGCATCTTTTATACTCAAGTTTCTTTTGCCCTGCACTGACATTGCTCTTGTTCTCCTTGGTTTGCATGGTTTTGCTTACTTTGCAATTCATTCTGCATCTCCTGGACAATGTCTTGAATTTTATCCAGGTAAAGCGGGAGCTTGCTTCTCAGAATCTGCCTGATTCCACTTTGCTTCCACACCTGGGTGACAGCTCTACCCACACTGTGGAGGAATCCTGCTACCTTTTGTAAGGCTATCGAAGGCCAGGCAGCTGCTTCAGACAGAAAATCAACTTGCTGCACCTACAGTGGTTCCCAAAAAAGAAGAAATATCAAAATACACAGTGATCACAAGCAAAGCTTTGACTCCATTCCAAGGCAATTCTGAACTCCTCAGTGTTGGTGCAGAGATACAGGATCTTTACCATGAAACATGCTTTTTGTCTATGTATGAATTGCAGGTTAGCACAGGATTAACCATTTAAATGTTTGAGCAAAACAAAATAACTGCATGCAATATAATGATTTTTAATGAACACTGCATGAACATTTTATGGTGCTTTCACAGATGATGTACAGATACTTACTGATCTCCTGAATCTCCACATATATCCGTCAAACTTCTTAATCTTCTCCATCAGTTTGGCTTTCAGAAGGCTCCCAATTTCATTAAGTTTGTACTGTGAGATTAATAAAAACCTTGAATTTATGATCTAGAATTGCTTGTGCTGGGTCCAAATCACTCAAAGTTTGTACTAGTTTAAATGCCAGCAAAGATCTACAGTGGCCTCCCATTTCTCAGGGGAAATGACTTCAGCGTTATTCAGTGGTTAGAAATGGCAATAGAAGTCTAAGGATGAAAAACCAAAAAGCATCCTCCAAGCAGAGAGTATGTGAAAGCCTATTAGAAGTAAAAGCACATTCAGGATTTCTAATCTTAGTTTTATGATCAATATGCTGAGCAGCCCTGGCACACTACTGCTGCTCTCGCTTTATTTACTTGCCCTCTTTGGAGGATACACGCTTTAGGATGGGGTCCCATATTTTCTATGCTTTCTAGGTATCACTGAACTTTTTAATTCTCATCATGGCATCTTTTCACACCAAAGTTAAAAATAATGTTATTATGAATTTAAAAATTGAGTAATTCCCCCTTTTGCCTGGTTACTCCCAAAACTCACACCCGAAGCCTACCTGGAAGATGCTCCATCAAACTGACAAGATTAAACAATGTTCTGGAAAAATCACACTGCAGTTAAGTGCCACTGAAGGGTCTCACCTCAGCCTTAAGAACTGGATCCCCACATCCATGAGCCAGAAGACTCAAGCTTCCATTAACAGCTGCGAGGGTCATTTGTCCCATGTTCTCTTGCCTTTCACCATTAATGTTGAGATAGGTGTTAAAGGTAGCCATCTGTTGCCCATCAGTACAAGCACTGACTTCCACTCCTTCTTCCATATCCCCTTAGAGAATTAAAAGAAACAGCTTCATTTACAGGAACAACACTGACAGACACTGTTTCAAAGCCAGCTTTTTAATTACTTAGGTGATCAATCAGTGTTAGGTGTTTGGGGAAAAAAAAAACCAAGAGGAAATAAACAGGAGAAAATTAAATCAGTGTCAGTGTTTGATTTTTTTTCTCTTTGTGTGGCTTGTGAATGATTTACAAATACAGATTTGCTACTGCAAAGAAAGCACTGCATTAATATAAATCTAAATAATTCTCTCAGTCCCAGTGATTTACAGACTTTTTTCTACTTTAGTCTTCCACTGTCCTTTGTTGCTGATGTTTCAGAACTGCTTAGACTATAAATGAAAGTGTCAGTCACTCATCCACCCATCACACACATAAGTTGTTTCTGCCCAAGTACTGACAAGCATAAGCAGAAATGGTTGGCAAACTACATGTAGAATCTGGGTTAGGACAGTTGAGTTGAATAATTTCTACAAACTTCTGACTTCAGTAATTCACAAACTAATGGTCTTAATCTCAAAATACATTACAGCACTTACAAGTGAGGCCATGAACCTGAGAGAAATTCCACTGCAGAAGTGTGGAATGGCAAATCCGCAACTGAAACTCGGACTGGGATTGTCAGTAACATGAGTTTGAGACAGCTGTCATACCACCACATCTACCTGGTTTGCATACAAATATAAGGTAGTTGAAAGGTGGATGAGTCACAACAGAAAGCACTTGCAGCAGGTCTCATTCCATCGAACTTTAGTCATCTAAAAGTTAGGTACAGTCAGCCAACAGCCCTGTTTCCTCTCTGTTGTCAGTCAGAACTGACTGCTGCTGAGAGAATCACCTGCAGAGGGTGATTTCATACGTCCTGTTTCATATATCTGTTTCAGCATGGGGTGGAGTCAGCCTCTGGAGGTGCTTTTCTCTTTCCCTTCACTGAAATTGGAATGTAATGATTATCTTAAAGGAGGCACACAACTTTAAGATGGCTAAATCAAGATGAAATGAAGCCTATCTTCGATCACCATCCATTATAATCCTTCCCTGGCTAGTAATCATAAAAATGTCTCCCAAACTGACCTTTGTGTAACAAGTTTTAAGCTTCAGCTTTTCATTATCTGAAAGACCATAGCTTGAATCGCCATGAAACTCAGCTAGCTTGGTACTAGAGAGACACAGCCTTTCTTCCTGCCTCTTCATACCAATGACAGCTGTGAATCATAGAATCCCTAGAATATCCCAAGGTGGGAGGGACCCATAAGGATCATCAAGTCCAACCCCCTTGCTCCTTGCAGGACTACCTAAAACTAAATCATATGACTAAAAGTGTTGTCTGTGAAGGTACGTACCTTTCAAATACCCCATGTAGTACTGAAAACACTCCTTTCCTTTAGAAGCAGCTAATTTTACTTTCTCTTTCTGATCAATAATCCCCTCCACCAGGATTTGGCTCTGAACGGATGAGGAAGCAGCAGTTCCTGTCAGGCCTAGCCAAATATCTTCAAAGGCTCTTAACTGCAGATATAAATGAAAAACATTTATTCAAAGCCACCACACAGAATTAATGAATGTTCAGAGATGATGCTCAAATATCAGTGTTTGCCACAGAAGGATAAGCAGTGAGGGAAATGTTTTCCAATGCTTGTGTACTGCACAGGAGTTACACTCTTAAGAGAGGCACAAGCATTAGAATGATTGGCTCAAGAGCTGAATGACTGGATAGCACGAGGCTTGTGGACAAAATTTTAATGGTAGCAATGAAAGAAACATACTCTAACAGTCAGTTCCCTGTGAGGCTGCTAATTTTTGCCATTTATTCCAAAATAAAGAATAGATAAAAACCAAGTAGAGCAGCTGATACGTCTTTCATCTCCCTCCTTTCTAAAGAGAGAAGTAAAAATAATTTAGTATTTGTCTTAGCCTCTTAGTGATTAAATCATCATCATTTTGTTAAGATGTGGCCTGTTGTCTCAGTTAATTACGACAGACTACCCACATTACTTCTGATGAAGAGCTTGGATGGTGCTGACCACATTACTTTTCTGCTTGACTCTGCTGCCACCATCAGCTTCCCCACCTTATTCATTTCACAGAAAATTAAGAGTAAATGCAAAATACAGGGGGAGAGAAAAAAGGAAGAGATTTGCCTCAGGATGAGCATCATCATATTAGCTGTTCTGTGCCTTTCTTAAGGCCAGTTTTTTTCCTCTGGTAAACAATGCTTTGTATAAGTCTCACATTTTGTTCCCCGCCCCGTTTTTTTTTGCTATGGTGCAAAAAACCATACCTTACCAAACAGACCGGTCATGCTGAAGAAGGTGAGCTGTAATAAAACATAGCCTCTTAAAACTTTTATATATTCCAGTTGATATACACTTACTATATTTGTCACTGAGCTCTGCAGATAACTAACATTGGTGCCTTCTTTTCTTTCTTGATCATACTGCATGTACGTTGCATAACTGCTCCTTTAAAAACAGCACTAAAGAAACCAGGAGTATTTTATGCTGCCTGTACTTGCCTGCTGTTTTAACGTCACTGGCTGCACCTGATCAGTTTGGAAGATAGATGGCAGTAGGCCTTTAAAAACCAAAAACCAGTGCCACTAAAATAAAATAAAAACTCACTTCAATTTCCAAAGAATAGTTCTTTACATCAGCTGTACTCTGATTTTTTAAGGATACTCCAATCAACCCTTCATCTCTCCTATGATCAGCAAGGTGGACTCTGCCCTCTGATTGCAAAATGATGTCATCTTTGTTGAGCTGGTGTTTTCCAGAGAAAACAATTACCTAAGTATGAACAAAAAAGGTGTTAAAAGCTTAATTCTTCCAAAGAAATGGGCTCTACATAGAGTAGTTAGAGGTTGTACAACATTAGCATTCTCATGAAATTACACAATGAAGTGAGGAACAAAACTTGTAGTTTCAGAAACCAGCACATCCTCCTTCTCACAGCACTGTCTTACTTCATTACATCTTCAGTTTCTGTGGTATAACAAACCATGTTCAGAGATTACAGCCTAAGACAAGATGAACAGCTGGAATATAACTATATTTTATTAAAACAAGTCCAATTTTTTTTGGTCTTATGCTTCTCAACTACTCTAGCTAGGCATTTTGATGCATGCCTTTGCAGAAAAGGATCCAAAAGAATACAGAGTCACCTGATTTTGAAGTGACACGCATATACATTTTTTGCATTATAAACAGGCTCTAACACATCTTGGTCTTGGAAAAAGTTTTCACTGGCATCAAAATTTGGCTGCTGTTTCCCATTGCTAACAGGGTGTGACCTACTCTGACAGTAAATGAGGAAACCAACGGAGATGCATTTTATCTACTGGCAACTGGAATGAGACCACATTTGTTACAAGTTCAAAGTTTTGTGTTTGTTGTGATTATCTATAGGCAACTCTGGGGTCCAATGTGCACCTAAGGAAGATCATGGATGGGTCTTCGGTTCGAAAAATAAATTACAACTGTGAGGTTACAGTAAGGTTCAAAAACTCATTACTACCAGCACAGCAGCCAAAAAAACCCAGTAAATTTTTACCGACAGGGGAAGGAAAGCACTTTTATTCTTCTCTAGTTTCCTTTTTGATCACTTATGAGCCTCTTTTGATATTCTCCAGAAACATGAAGTTAAAAGAACTTTGAGAGAGGAATAGGAAAGAAAGAACATGGAGGAAGCGGGAATGTTTACAATCATAACAGGACCATAGAATGTACCACAGCGGCAAACACAACCTTTCTGCCTAACCCATCAAAAGACACTGTTTATTCATGGTTCGTTAAGTTACAGAAGTATGGCAATTCTTGTGAAAAGTTGCAGCTGAGGAAAACTGAGTCATCAAACCAGTAATTACATTTAAAGTGAAGTAGGCTCAATATATTTATGTGAGACTTACGTTTGGAAGGTCACAGAACTCAAAGCTCGTATAATAGTCCAGGCAAGATGAGTAGTTTGTTTCTATTTTACCCAGAATCTTCTGTTTGGTGCATGAGGTCAGGAAAATATTTTCCAGAACAGCTTCTAACTGAAATTTATCAGGATACAGGAATTGAGTTCTCTGCAATGAACCAAGAAAAGAGTTAAAATGTGACAACAGAATCTTAGACACTCCTCTGTGCCCACTCATCCCATCTCTCAACATCACCCTGTCCGCGTGCTGGCTTTTTTTATTCTAGTAGCTTCAGGGTTTCAACCTAACATTTCCAAAATGTAACATTTCCACTTGCCAATGTTTTGGCTTATCAGACATTTACTAGTCCCCATCCTATAGAATTAACTCAACAGGTTTGCAAATTTAGGGCACAAGTGAGGCCTCTAGTTTGTAAGAACTAATTTTTTCCTTAATTATGCTACATTTAGCTTTCTTCCTATGCAGACAATATGTAAAAGGTAAAAACGCAATAACGGTATTTCACAGAAAGTGTTACTCTGCAGAAGCTTTCTTAAAATCCACTCAAAATTACATACAAAAACTAAATAAATTCCCATCTATTAAGAACAGCTTCCATAAAAATAGTGAGTTAACAGATACAACTGCCTTCTCCTACCTCATACGTTAAATTGTGCTTGAATTTTTTGTCATCCCAGTTCAGATCTAGATATTCGTTAAACAATGCTGATCTTTGCTCTAGAGACCCACATGCATGCAGGTGTTCCATACTTAACACTCTCTGAAGCTGGAAGAGGGGAAAAAATTAAGACATACATATTAGTAATTTTCTAAAAAATATGTTCACTATATACTAAAATATATACTAAAGTATATAGTATTTTTGCTTTCTGGGCAAAAATACACCCCTGTGAGAACCCCTGAATGGTCTATACCAATAAAAGACTGCTTCAGTCTCTACCAAGAAACCTAAGGGGTTGATGATTCTGTCCTGAGGGAAAGCTGCATCCCAAATACAAACGTATCTGGCAACATGAAACACAATTCTTCAGAGGTTTTCTTTTTTTTCCTCTGAGACATGAAAAGGTTGACTTCAGGTAAAAGGCAAGCGCAGAAAAAATTCAGTGAGACTCAAAACCAGAAATTTAGCTATAGCCATCCCTTCATAGACTCAAAGACTCATACCTGACCTGAAGAGAGTGTCATACAGCCATCCCAGGCAGTGATGTTCACCTTGGATTTATCCTCCAGGGTCAGTCGGATATCAGCGGGCTGCCCACCATTCCCTATTAGCTGCAGCTGAAACCAGAAGAGAAGGATTTGTCCAGTGAAGCAAGACTAGGGCTAGCAGAAGAGCCTGCAGGGTGATCTAGCAGAATGAGCTCCACTCAGTGGAGAAAAAAAGAAACACAATTAAAACTGCAACAGAACAATGTTCAACTCCATGTGGCCTGGAAGCTCAGGGCCTTAAACACACAGGGGAAACTGCACTTTCACAACTGAGGCAACAGAAGTCGTTCTATTATCTTCTCTGGAAGCTGCATTGGGTCAATCATGCATAGCAATTGACACCAGTGGAATAATGACACAAGAGAATTTATTCTTCTAAGTATGACGCTTGAGACATACTGACTACTTAGTGAAAACAACCTGAGACCACTCTGTAGCACCACTATGAGTACCAAAAAGACTCCAGATGAACAAACAGAACACTGCACAGTTTGTGCAGCTTATTATTGAGCAGAAAGTCTTCAGCCTCAGCAACTGGACTGTCTTGGCCCATGCAGTGCATTTTCAGGCAGAAAATATTCTGTAGTCTTTGATCATGAAGTATGATTTGTGGAGTTCTTCCTCTTTTTCCCCATATATGCTTTGCAAGTGCACCTCACAGTTGTATTCTAAAGCCTTTCTAGTCTCACACATTTTCACACTTGTGTTGCAATTTCCTATATAGTCAAAAAATTTAGGTTTGTGCTGCATGGGTATCGAAGGATTCCTGTTTGTTGTTTGTTTTGGGTTTTTTTTTTTTTTGTGGAATAGGACTTTCTGAACAAAATTTGCCTCACTTTCATTGCTAGGCTGGCTCCTGTGCACTTCTGGCTTCTTGCCATCCAAAATGGGTCAATGCTAAAATTGCAAGACAGATACTGTCAGCTAGCAACAGTTATGCTTAGAAAAGGAAACAATGCTGGTAGTTTGGACACAAGGAGATAATAGCACTTGGTGCTCTTTACATTTTTCAGGCTGATAATCTGGTTCTGCAATTCTTTGAGATGAAAGGCACGCTAACAGTAAATATAGTATTACAGCTTTGTATTTTGCAGCCCTTTCTCTTGATCTCACCTGCTGGTTGTACTTTCTGCCTCTTCTTTCTGACAGGGAATGGACCTCCAGTTGCTTCAGAGTGTAATTAAAGGGGTGGGCAACAGTGGCTCTGTAGTTCATATGGTCTCTTCCAAACTTCAGAGAAGATGACACTGATATCTGATCCATATCAACAGATGTAAAAGGAACTTGTGAAATAAAACACCTCTCACATACTGAACTCAAACATACACCCAGTAAGACTTCCCAATACCTTTTCCTCAGACGAATTATGTGCATAATAAAGTCCTTTTTGAAGTAGTAAGGCAAATCAATGTTCAAATGAGGACATTCTTGCTACTTGAATTTCCTACATGACACAGCTGAAAGTAGAACTATTTTCTGTATTTTACTAAAATCATGAACCATACTTAAGTTTTATGAGGCTTAAGTTTGGTCTCATATTTAGGGACTGTAGGCTCCGCTGCTGCAGAGTGCTTAAGATGCAGCTTGCAAAGTTGAAGCACAAGAAAAAACATTTGCAGAATCAGGAACTAAATTCTGTAATGCTGCTGGGAGCAAAATAATTTTGTGGCAATTTAAATAGTGGTGGTATTTAAGTTGTTGTGGTAATTTAAGTAGGAGTACAAAAATACATTCTGTACAACTTCTAAAGTAAATTTTGGAATTTTAGAACTTTTTAAAGAAATTAAGAATTCTAGTCCTTTTTGCAGGCAGATTTATGTTTGTATATGGTAACATTTTACACATTGCCTTTTATCTGTACTTTATTCAGAAAATAATGTAATACTCAGCCAAGGTGCTCCATTTCAGATGCACATATAAAGATAGCACAGTTAGTTGCAAGTCAGTAAGGTCCCCCATTTAACCACATTTGAAAATCAACTTACCCAAAGTTCTCCTAGTTCTGTGGGGTTTACTATCTATATTTTTAAAAATTAATGCTGACTTACTTCAAGAAAATAAAAGCTGGTTTAAACTGTTCCAAAGTTGTCATTCTTACTAATAAAGAGGAGAACAAAAGAATGAAATACAAAAGAGCTTCAATTGAATCAGTAATGCTGAAAATACTAAGCACAGGTATGTGCCACACTTCTATGTGGGTAAACATAGCACATATCCATGCAACAGATAGGTGGTTCATCCTTTTCAACCTCGCACTAATGCTCACACTTACTTATTTTAGATTTTATTTCTTTCCCCCTAAGCTGGTTTAAACATGATGTTTGTGCTATTCTTTCCATCTACTCTCAAAAATTGTCCTAGAGCCTATCCAGTGCTTTGAACGATATGCATTTCATTGCCTTTGGTTATGCTGCAAGCTGTGGGGTTACTGCAAACAAAAAAATAGTATGGCCTGAAAATGCATCCAACAAGAATATCAGCTGTTCATCTTCCATAGCCTTTTATACATCCAAGAAGGAGGAAAGTTTGCCTCCTACTTGAATTCCCTGGCTTGCTTAATGTCTTTAAAAAAAACAAAACAAAACAAAACAAAACCCACTTGATATTCTTGTAATTCTCCTGACATTTATTTGCTCTGGGCTGTTGTACCTGGTCCTTCTCATTCCAAATGACAGTAAGATCATCCCGGTGACTGCGTGCTGAATGTTTCACGTATAAGTTGACCCTGGCATGCCATGGGAAAGGGATGGAGAGAGGATGGAAAAGTTCCACTACAAGGAAAAAAAGCAAGTAAGTTTTCCCCATACAAGGCATAGGACATATTCTCCCACAGGTAGCAGGGCAACAGTTGGTTCCCAGAGAAAACACGGTCTTGGCTCAAACACACACGTGCACCTACCCAACAGCCACAATCACTTTAGTGTACTGATTTCTGCTGAATATGAAGAAAAGTAAGGGAAAACAGACGTCCTCTATTTACCAGCAAAACAGTAATTACCTGCAATAATCAAAAGATCGATACCTACACCCAAAGCAACTTCCAGCAAGAACAGCCAGGAAAGTAATCTTTATGAAGCTGAGATGACCTTACACTGGCAGAGGAATAGCTTACAACTCTCAAACAAGTAAGTGCAGTTATTTTCTTTATTTTCAGATAACATAGCCTCAACATAAGGGTTTAGCACCTTAAGGTAGTACCAGCGTGACCAGTGCTCCCTGCAGTACCCAATGCAGTAGAGTAACAGAATTTATTACAGTTTCTGAAAAAAGCCTCAGAAATGTGTGGCAATAAATTAAAAAAAATAAAATTATATCCAGGAGGGACAAAAACATACCAAGCAAGAAGAATACAGAAAAATAAACAAAAATTAACTTGAAATGTTTTTGCTCTCCAAATTCAAAGTGATACCTGGGCAACATTCAGAAAAAAATGTTATCTGTGAGATGTGTCTCTTTATACCTCTAGTGCAGTGACTGAAGGACAAATCTGAAATGTAGGTCACCTCAAAACCCTTTCCTTCTCTCAACTGTGAGAGATCTGCATTTAGGTACCCACTTCATAGTGAGCAACCTGACCACTGGATTACTGGGTATTTGAGCTTAATCTTCCTCAAGCTACATGTGCACTTGTGGATCTGGGGGCATTTCTGGCTAGCAAGTCCAGGTGTACACTTCACACACGTGGCAACCTCACAGCGTAGTAAGACTACAGATCCTATAAAGCTCCTCCTCAGCGCCTTGACTCCTCCTGGAAGGAAATACATACGTTTCTTTTACAGTACTTTCTAAGTGGATCCTTGAGTCATAAAATTACAGAACCAAGACCCTGATCTACACTGCAGAGTGTACAACTGCTCATACTACATGTACTCTCCCCTCTCTCCCACCGAAGTTGGTTGTGTTTGTGAAAAAAATGAAACATTCACTGGCACAGAATTATGGAACTATTTTATTCAAAATGGAACTATCAGGAAGAATAGAGGGAGAGTGCCGCACACTGGGATTTCTCATTCAAATCACTGCTCTGAGTGAAACCAAATGCAGATGTGAACCACAGTCAGCCACCTCCCAGCTAAGTATCCTAGCACTTCAGCTAGAATGAAAGTAATTGCAATACTTTTAACTATCTTCTCTGTTTACAAATGGTATTTAGTCCTAAACTAGTTCCTATGTTTCCTTTGCTTTTCATTAAATATTTAAAATATTCAAAAGCAAATATAAAAATAAAACCAAATGTTTCATTTAATCCAGAACACTTCTGAAATTTGTTGTAAAATAACAACAGACATTTTAACTTGTTAATGACTTTCCACTCTGGCCAAACTTCTCCCTGGAACTACTGAAGTTTATTTAAGCTTTACATTCCATATCCACAAAGCAGAAATAGTGTTCTGAAGTGGATGTTTCTAACAGCCAGACTTATCATGAATTTAAAGCAATTAAGATCTTGGAAGGCCTGGATTGAAACCCATTTGAATATGCATTTTGAAATCGGATTTATGTGGTTTAGTTTATTTTATAGCCTGCTATCAACACTGGCAAAAGACTTGAGAAACCTACCCTGAACATCATGACCTCCAGCCAACTTTGGGAAGAGTCCAGTGTAAGTGCCTGTTAGCTTTATCTCTTTGCCATCCCGCAGAGCAATGTGCCTCAGCATACGTGTTCTGTTGCCTTTTTGGTAAACCGTCATAAACACAAGCTGCCTTGGAAGAATTTTTAACTAAAAATGAAAGAGGGGAAACATATTAAATCCCAAGTTCTCTGAAAAGTTAAAAACCTAAGTGTGCAATTTTGATACTGTAAAGTCCTGTGGAATCTAGCTTTAGAAATTTGTTTATAAAAGGTCTAGAGCAATGATAAACTAAAGCCCACTGCTTTTGTATAAGCAGCTGTTAATTTCTACCTGACTTAATTTCTACAGCAAGTCATCTTCTCAAATAATGGAACATACATGAGCAACTGAGTATCCCCTTTACAATAGTCTTTGCTTACTGTATGTTTTGATTTTCTATCTCTCTTTTATCTCGCTGAATAATTCTTAGAACATCAAGAGCCCCACTATTACAGAATAAATCCAGCAGATAGCACAAATGATAATAGCTATTTGTGACATCTTTTCTTCCTTATTTAGAAAAAGAAATGTGTGTTACCTGCGTAACAAGAATTGGCAATTTCTCAGTTTATAACTTATTATTTTTCTTATTTCTTATATATGTGCTCCATCTATAGGAGCAAACAAATATAAATCAAACAACAGTTTGTACCATTGGACACCCAACTAATCTACAGTTGAATGTTTGCTCATGCTACTGGAGAAATCAAGGGCAAAACACGTCATAGCAGCTGGAGCTGTATTTGACCTTCACTGTTTGGCAGCCAGCATCCTGAGTGCCACACTCTAGAAACAGGGCAGTCACAGCTTGCCTTTTGCCGTCTGAGTTGATGATACCAACCTGGGACATTGTCTGTATTATTTCAATGACATTAGTGTAGCTGGTTCCAGTGAAAGTTAGCTTAGCTGTAACATTGAAATCCCTTTTTTCCATACTGAGGTAGAGTTTGCCTTTTGCTTCAGTCATATCATAATTTACCTTTTCAAGTTTCCATTAAATGTGGGGGGAAAAAAGAGAGAGAGAGAAAGAGAAAATAAACTTAAATATTGTGCTTGCATTCTTCGCACAGTATGTTATATTATGGTCCCCAGGACCTAAGAGAGATCTGGTTTTCCCTTATGTTCACATTATGGAAGGCACAGCTACAGAATAACATAAACTGAACAACATGCATAAGAAATTAGTCTTTATGTAAGCAGGAGTAACTGTGCTGCGTTTGACTGACAAATAACCCCTTTCATCTTCCTTGCTTATCCTTGCTGTCGTGTATTTCTGCACTGCAAAGAGCCAATATCCAGAATTGCTTTCTGCCCAGTCTCTCTTTTCTTAGTAGCCAGAATAATTAAAAACATTCATGAGAGGAGTCTACCAGAAGTCATAATTAATACAGATGCACAGAAGTAGACTCGAATGGAATGAATGCTTTCCAGTAGGTTGGGATTGTTAGCATCTTTGAAAATGTGAACAACCACAACAACAACAAAAAGGTCAGAGATACTAGTACTAGAAATAATGCAGTTTGACTCATAAAATATTAGACAAGTCTAATTTTAGTGATGTATGTGACAGACAACTTGTAGACAGTTACCTTAGAAGACAGTTCTGCTGCACCGGGGAAGTACTGTAGAAAGACAGGATGCGTCTGGAGTGCTTTTATATTCAACTCTTCACTAAAGGGAAGAAATGTACTTTTGTTCTACAATATTTCAGAAAGTCCACTCTCACTGACAGCACAAGTTCATCTAAGTAATCTCTGAGTCTGCCACAGCTTTTAGAGTTACAAATTGCAATACCTTCCACTGAATGCTTACCCACCTAGCATTTTTTGATGCATACAAAGGTAAAGGAGACCAAACAGTAGTGCAATCTCTGACCTCAGTGAAAAATCTGCGTACGCATCCCAGGGACAGAATGTGGCCCACTGGATCAGAAATCACTTTGGCTAGTAATTTACTAGCCATAGTAAAAACATCAGCTTTTTAAAAATGAGATAGGCATTTTGGAACCTGACTTTGCAAGCATTATCATGGTTTCCAGACTTAGAATTTACAATTCTTAGAGAGTTTAACAGAACTTAGAAGACTTTTCAGTGCAAAGGTCTTTTGCTAGAAATTTAAGAAATATCTGAAATATCCCAAGGCTGAAAATATTACACCTCTTAAACACCCTCAAAAGCCTACAGTTTTGTTTATACACCATACCAGATATTTCTGTTTAGACACAGTGCTGGTTTTGGCTGAGGTAGAGTTAATTTTCTTCATAGTAGCTAGTACGGGGCTATGTTTT